ATGTGCATTTTTTCTTCTTCAAATTATAGCTAAATGGTTTGCAATGATTATTTTAAAATCTAGATTAAATCAAGGTTTATCTAATAATTCTGTTGCACCAAACTTCAAACCTTTAAAAATAAGCAGGTTTACATTTTTAACCCATCATTTTGATCGGATTTAAGTTATATTTAAGATTAACTTTAATCCTTTTGCACCATAACTTTAAACTCAGATTTAAATCTCAATTATGGATTAACTTTAAACTTAACCCTTAAATGCATACCTCGGGTCTTTAGCGACCCGGGACATCATTCTCTACCCTCTCCCTCCTTCATTTTTTTAAGTTAGACATCAACTTTCTTAGTATTCCTCAATCTATTAATTATAAACAATATAACAAGAAAAAAATCTCGCTATAGGGTCGCTAGAGACCCGAGGTATGTAAATGTGTAAGTATTTTTTCCTGCGGAACTATATTTATATATCTGATGACTCAATATGTGCAATGCATCTTTTTTTGATAAACAATAATGATGTGACGTTTCACTCATAATTACCGCAGGCATAAAACAAATGAATATCATCAGCAAAAATTGAAGTGGTTTGAATGGCTTTACTGTATGAGGCAGATGCTGAATGTACTGTGGAAGTGCGCTCTGACGATGACAGCGATGGTAAAATCATCTGCTCAAATTGAACCCTTTTAAGTTTCAAAAGGTAAGGAAATATGCTTTATTTTATTCTTCTGTAATTGTTCTTAAAATATCAAGAGTTTTTTGCTATTGCAGCAGTTAAGATCCATCCGTGCTGTATATATAGGTCCGGGTCGCTAAAGACCCGAATATGTAATAATGATTGGCGAAACATTCATGCATTTAAGGGTTAATGGAGGTTTAAATAAAAAATAAAAAAATGCACATGCAATTAAAATGTAACTGATTGAACAAAAACTGTCCTTGCTGTCAAAGTCTAAGTCGAGTCGCAAGTCATCAAATTTGGGACTCGAGTCCACACCCCTGCTGAATGCCATTACAAAACAAATCCATACAGAATCAAAATAAACCAGGTATCTCTAATACTAATTCAGCAAAACAGAACTGCCAGTATAAACAATATTGTTTTATTCAATATTGACATATGTACTGAAATTGATTTATGTTCTTTTAGATTTTTTTGCACCCTCAGATTCTAGATTTTCAAATAGTTGTATCTCGACCAAATATTGTCCTATCATAACAAACCACACATCAATAGAAAGCTTATTTATTCAATTTAAACAAATTGACCCTCATGACTGGTTTCGTGGTCTAGGGTCACAAATATCAGTACACAAGTAGAAGTCCATCGATACTGGATTTTGCTGATACTGTAATGCGCTTAAAGAAAGGCAATAAAAATATTATTGTGGCAATACAAATAAAATCTATACTGAATGTGTTAAATAATGTTCCTAGTCTTTCTTTCCTGTGATGCGGCGGTTCAGAGAGAAAATATAGGAGATTACGTTACTAGCCAGATACTGTTTATTGTGTGACCAAAATATCAATAATAGCCCGGATAAAAAAAAAGATGTTCAATAAATAAATCTGGGACTCTTGCTTTGAAATGTCTACGCTTTCCTACTTCAGCTGAGAGACATAAAATATGCATATACACCCATCTAGAAGATATTATAATATAAACATCAAGTCTTGTGCATACAAGTCATCCTTTCCTATCAAAATGCTTGCTCACGGATGCGAAAACGCAGAAAATCGAAATGACGGACGCATGTTTCGGAGGCAGTGTGTAAAAACGTGATTGACACAACGTGAGGTCGTATTTATTTTTTAACGTGCGAAAATATCTCAGGACTCCGTGTGCAAAGACCTTAACATTCACTGATTGCAAACGGCTCTGAAACCACAACAGCGCCACGTTTAGATTTTTAAACTTGCAGCGCTCACATTTACTTCACTAAATCATAACCTTTTAAAGTTTAATAAATCACATATCTATTCTGTGTTTATTTCTATTGTGTCGACTTGTGTCCCCAAATGTAACACCTCTTAAAACGAAAATTAAGACTATTTAAGGAAGTGGTCTCAAACTCAATTCCTGGAGGGCCACAGCTCTGCAGAGTTCAGCTCAAACCAGCTCCAAATCACACCTGCTTGGAAGTGAAGAGCTTGATTAGATGGATCAGGTGTGTTTGATTAGGGTTGGAGCAAAACTGTGCAGAGCTGTGGCCCTCCAGGAATTGAGTTTGAGTCCAATGATTTAAGGCCTTATTTATAATGGCCTTAAATTTGATCAGTTTGATTTAAGACTTTATAAGGACCTGAAACTGTTTTTTCTAGTGTTTCGACTCATTTGAGGCGTGTCGTGAAACAAAACCACATCCGAATGCTAACTGATCTCCACAGAACCCAGGGGCAGCTCATTAGTTCGCTGCAGTTTTTATAAACACAAAGAGCTTCTGATGGCGTTCAGCACTGAACTGTTTTCTCTGCGCAGCGAGATACGAGACCTGAGGTCTGCAGAGGTCACCGCGAGGCTCCTCAAACTTCACTAGACTTTCAGAGTGACTGATAAACCAGCTGAGATCCAGAAATGACTGGACGGAGCTCCACGAGGTCGTTTCCCCCGCGGGGGACGTACCTGAAGACATGGGGTCCTCTGAGAAATCGTGGAGGTCTTCAGGAGGGTCGCCGTAGAACGAGTTGAACTTGTGACTCGAGACGGCAGCGAGGACGGCGCCCTGTGAATCACACACACAAACTCATCTCTATTTCATTCATTACACTGTCAGATTCAAACAGGGCATTTTGATGAAATCATCTCGACGAACCGCAGACGTTTGACATTTGCACTCCAAACATATTAGATCATCCAACCACACGTCTTCACCTTTACACAGGCTCATCAAAACTCCTCACGCCTCCTTATTCCTCTGTGCGCCAACCGTCACGCACCTCTAATGTACCAGAAGAAAACATCCCCTGCTTTCATGTGGTTTCTGTCAATGAGAACTTTACTCTCACTAACCTAAAACTGCTGTTTAACTTCCAAACCTTCTGTATCAATGAATTCCCACCAGTCACTTCTGATTACTGGATACGGATTTTTAAATCATTTTACAGAAATGAAATATTACAGAAAATCAAATTTTTTATATATAGTGACCGAGTGAAAAGATGCTTTCTGGTCTATTTAGTTGAAATGGATCTGAAAAACAGCTCAATTTGAGTGTTATTACTGGATTGAAACCGCATTGTGTTTCACTGATATCTAAAGCTAAGTGTCTGTCAATGTCGTAAAACATTCCAGTGTTGACAACTGTTTATCATCAACATTTTTTTCACCTGTGAAAACAAGATAACTACATAAGCTTAAAGGCACAATATGTAAAAAAATTTTTTTTTATTAAAATATCAAAAAACCACTAGAACAGTGTTTCTACTATGTTAATAAATCATTAGCTCATCCATGAACATGATTTCTGCCCGAGTCCCGTCGTATTGCATCAGCTGTGGGGATGAAGACCACAACTCCCATGATTCCACACTCAGTCACGCCTTCATCAAACTAGGCCTTTGCCTCTTTGTTTATTTTGAATACGCGCCCTCTAGCGGCGAAAATTACATATTGTGCCTTTAACTACACAAGTTTAAATGAATGTAAACAGTTGGGAGAATATCAGATGTGTATCAGTTTGTTAGATCTGTGCATTCAGTCTTAAAGTGACAGCAGCCTAATAAACCTGCTGCTGTTCATATCAATCAAACAACAAAATAGAAAGAGAAAATCCCTCACTGCTCTTTACTAAATCACTTTAATAGCTTTAATAAGGATTTATCTTTCATTTCTATAAATAAATATGTCTGCTTATTCTTATATAAAGTTCTAATAAAGAATGCATATATAACCACTGGTCTTTCATTGAAAATAAGACCCTGATTTTTGTTCTAGAAGTGGTTTGATTTTATTTTTAAGATAAATAAAGTCATGTTATGTGTCACAGCAGTTTAATCTGTGTCTGTGTTGCACATTCAAACCTTCATATCATTCATATCAGGTTAACAGATGTTTTCTCCAAGAGTATATGATGAGTTTGGACATTCTAGAGAAATGCTTAATGTTTTATAATTTAACTAAACCTGTTAACTAAATCTACTTTATTTTTCATTTATTAAAATATTATGATATTTGTGACCCAGGACCAGTCATAGGGTTCCATTTTATGAAATTGAGATTTATGCATCATCTGAAAGCTGAATAAATAAGCTTCCATTGATGTATGGT